TTGTATTCACACTGTTCATTTTTCAAACTAGGTTGTTTACTTCAAATTTTGTGATACTCGTTCATTCTCGTAACCCTCCTTCATTATTACTTGATTTACTTGAAATTTTTGTAAGAATCATCAATTATTAGTTGATATATAAATGATTTTACATTTTCTCTTCATTTTTCATACTTATTCACAACTTTTCTGTTAAAATAGAAACGTTACTTCACATTTCGCTTATGTTGTCCTCATATTAACTACTTACCCTTACAGCACCAACAGTGAAACATACATATAAACGAAAAACAAAAACCAATAAAAAAAGGTAAATAAAATAGGTATTCCATTTTGGATCTGATTAACTTTATTCATAAGTGATTGCCAACATTTAAATGGAAATTTACTTAAAAATACAACAGAAAATGAAAATACTAAAGATAATTTTGTTTTGATATGTTTTGTTTATTTCTGAACACAAACAAAACTAAGTTATATATGTTATATTCAAATATGAATAGAACATAATTTGATGTCATATATACATTATTCAAATATGAATACAACAAAAATGACTTATATATGTTCTATTCACATATGAATATAACATATATATTCATATGTGAAAAAAAAATATGAATATATATGTTTTATTCAAATATTCATTTATGAATATCAAACTCATTTATCTTCTATTGACTAATGAATGAAGGTAAGAAGACTAACATTTCCGATAAAGATTCACCAACAATGAGAGAAACATGATCAATGCAGAAAAATCACAAAGGTATAAAATACATATCATATCTTTTATATCCCTGCTATAATTTAGAAATACCTTGTATATCTTAGCTATAATTTTCTTCTATTAACATATGAATAATTCAATCTGGATATCTTTTTTATTAAAAAAACTATTGAATTCTTGTATTCATATATGAATAAATATATATGGCTTAGCTTTGTTTATATTCAAAAGCTAATCATATCTGAATGGAAGCAATTATTCATACCTTTATGTTATTTTGTTTTGGAACATTTTTCTTTTGAAATTGCTGATTGATTTTTAGTATATTTACATATGAATATAACACACACACACACACACACACACACATATATATATATATATATATATATATAATATATATATTATATATTCACATGTGAATATATAAATATGGATATATCTGTTATATTCATTATCCTAGCTATAATTTTCTTCTATTAACATATGAATAATTCAATCTGGATATGTTTTATATTAAAAAAAAACTATTGAATTCCTGTATTCATATATAAATAAATATATATGGCTTAGCTTTGTTTATATTTAAAATCTAATCATATATGAATGGGAACAATTATTCATACATTTATGTTGTTTTGTTTTGGAACATTTGTCTTTTTAAATTGGTGATTGATCTTTAGTATATTCACATATGAATATAACACACACACACACACACATATATATATATATATATATATATATATATATATATATATATATATATATATATATATTCACATGTGAATATATATAAATATGGATAAATCTGTTATACTCATTTATGAATGACTTGTATATCCCAACTATAATTTTCTTCTATTAACATATGAATACTTCAATCTCAATCTGGATATGTTTTATATTAAAAAAAACTATTGAATTCCTGTATTCATATATGAATAAATATATAAGGCTTAGCTTTGTTTACATTCAAAAGCTAATCATATGTGAATGGAAACAATTATTCATATCTTTATGTTCTTTTATTTTGGAACATTTTTGTTTTGAAATTACTAATTGATCTTTAGTATCTTCACATATGAATATAACACACACACACACACACACACACACACACACATATATATATATATATATATATATATATATATATATATATATATATATATATATATATGAAAAAGTTCAATAGAGAACCATAATTATTGGTTCTCCAAGGAACCAAATGTTTTTTTTTCAAGTTTTAGAGCTTATTCTTTATTGAAAAAAATAAACTAAAAATTTCTAAATTCATAACTTAACATTGTCAATGCTAAATATATTTTTCGGATTCACCGTGTGAATTTAGATTCACATTTTAAATTTGACGAAATTTTTTTTATCGAATTTGATATCATTGGAAAAAGGATAAAAAGTTATGAATTTCTGTATTTTTAATTTTTTTTGATAAAAAATAAGTTCTAAAAGTTGAAAAAAAGATTGGTTCCTTGGTTTCTTGGTTAATTATGGTTCTCTATGAATCTTACCCTATATATATATATATCTATATATATATATATATATATATATATATATATATATATATATATTCACATGTGAATATATAAATATGGATACATCTGTTATATTCATTTATGAATAACTTGTATATCTCAGCTATAATTTTTTTCTACTAACATATGAATAATTCAACGTGGATATGTTTTATATTAAAAAAAAACTATTGAATTCATGTATTTATATATGAATAAATATATATGGCTTAGCTTTGTTTATATTCAAAAGCTAATCATATATGAATGGAAAGAATTATTCATACCTTTATGTTGTTTTGTTTAGGAACATTTTTTCTTTTGAAATTGGTGATTGATCTTTAGTATCTTCACATATGAATATAACACACGCACACACACACACACACACACATATATATATATATATATATATATATATAATATATATATATATGTGAATATATAAATATGGATATATTTGTTATATTCATTTATGAATAACTTGTATATACCAGCTATAATTTTCTTCTATTAACATATGAATACTTCAATCTCAATCTGGATATGTTTTATAATAAAAAAACTATTGAATTCCTGTATTCATATAATAATAAATATATATGGCTTAGCTTTGTTTGTATTCAAAAGCTAATCATATGTGAATGGAAACAATTATTCATACCTTTATGTTGTTTTGTTTTGGAACATTTTTCTTTTGAAATTGGTGATTGATCTTCAGTATCTTCACATATGAATATAACACACACACACACACACACACATATATATATATATATATATATATATATATATATATATATTCATATGTGAATATATAAATATAGATATATCTGTTATCTTCATTTATTCATTTATGAATATAAAATAGTTTCTTTGTAAAATGTATTTCAAATTTATTTATCTTCTACTTACTAATGTATGAAGGTAAGAAGATTGTCATTTCTGATAAAGACCCAACAACAATAAGAGAAAGAAATTTGAAGAGGAAAAATGCCAAAGTTACAAAATTCCTATTATATCTAATATATTCATATATGAATAGACTTGTATATATCTCAGTTATATTTTTGTAATAAACAAATATTAATAAATCAACGAGCATATATCATATTCATATATCAATAACTTGTATATACCTGTTATATATTTGCACTACTCATATGTGAATAATTACAACTTATTCAAATATTATATGTTTTCATTTCCCAGATAAAAAATAAACAAAAACACCAAAGAAAACAAAGCATCAAAGCAGAAAAAGTCCATCAAAAAGAAAAACTCCTGAAAAACGACAACTACATGATTCAGACTCTGATTTTGAAAGTAGTCGTCCATCAAAGAAGGCAAAAAAAAGGAGTCAACAATCAAGAAAGAGAAAAAAAACCAGTGGTAAAGGAATTTTACTCGATGAAAAACAGATGTTCACCAGAGTCATTACTATCTATAATCTTTGGGCTGAGCAAAAAACAAAAAGAATGTGTAAGATCTATGGGTTTTGGAAGTCTGCTAAAAATGAAAATCACGGATATACCACCGAAGCTGGGATTTTATATTCTTCAAAAATTTGATTCTGAGAGAATGGTGATAGATCTTGAAGGAAAGGAACTGAAAGTAACAGCAGAGTCTGTTCATGACATGTTGGGCATTCCAACTGGTGGAACCATACATACACAACTAGATCAATGGCCTAAAGATGATACGAGTTATGATGAATGGAAGAAACAATTTAAAGAAGGAGCAATCATCTGACTGAATGCAATCAAAAAAGTTATTGTTTGTACCACAGAAGTTGATTTCGATTTCAAATTGAACTTCTTAGTTCTTTTTGTCAACACATTTTGTGAGTCAACATCAATGGGAAGATGCAGCCTATTTCCTTTGAGTTATATTTCAAGAAAAACAGATATCAGCAACGTAGACTGGTGCAACTATGTTTTGGACTGTCCTGTCAGAACAAAGAATTCGTACATACCATACTCAGATACCAACTACTTTGTTGGACCTTCAGCTTTCTTGGTGGTAAGTTATTATAATGTTTATACTCAATTTTTAATAATATTAATTATTCATAACTGAATAACACATATTCATATATGAATAAGTAAAATATACTTGTTCACATGTAACACTTTACATTACTTATTCATATATGAATAAGTAAAAGATAATATTACTTGTTCATATATATATATATATATATATATATATATATATATATATATATTCATATATGAATAAGTAATGGTTTGCATTACTTATTAATATATGAATATCAATTAGTTATCATTTATCTATAGTTGTTCTATACTGATAACATGCACTCGGAAGCTTTAATGGTAACACATAAACGTCCAATAATTTGTTATTGGAGTTAAGAGAAGATTAGATATCGAGAGACAGAAAAAGGTAAATTTGTACTTGGAGAATTGAATGAAGAATTTGTTAATGAACAAGATGAAGGAGATACATATCTCGAAGACAGTGATTCTGATAAAGATGAAGATCATTATGTTGAGGTAATTATTTTGAACATGTTAATAATATATGATTACATTAAATTATTATATTAATTTCTAATCATACTTCTTTTTATTGCATAGGCATATGAAAAAAACTTATCTAAAATGTTTAATAGTTTTGAGAGGATGAAGGAAAGGCTGAATTAAAAACTCAATGATGTAATAACAAAGTTCCCTGAAAAGGAAAGTTTTAGGATTTTCAAACAAAAGATGACAAATATAATTATTGAAGAAAAAACTGAAAGCACAACACTTTATGAATTTCCAAGTAATGAAACTGGAGTTGAAGGTATCAATTTGACACCAATAATGGGTCAAAAAACAAATGATCAAAAAGAAAATGAAGATAAAGAGGGTAATGGTGAAGAAGACAATGATAATGATGAAAGTCAACCGAAAGTAGATTATTTTCTTGATTCAAACGAAGCAGAGAATGAAGGAATAAAGAATGATGGAGATAAGAATAAAAAGGAAGGTGAAACTGAAGTAAAAAGAGAAAGATGGAAAGAACAATGAAAATGAGAATGATGAAGAGAAAAAAGATGATGATGCTGAAGAAACAAATAATCATGAAGAGACTATTCAACAAAGTGAAAATGAAAATATGTTGGATAAAGTTGTTGACAACATTGTGGATAATGTCCTTGGAATTGTATTTTCAAGTTTAAATAGTCAAGAAGAAAAAATATGGAATGACACTGAAATGAAAACTATTTTGGATAATATTGATATAGATAAATTTTGACTTACTTTTATTTTATAAAAATATATAAAAATATTAATACACAATAAAAATATTTTTATTAAATTTTGACCAGGGTCACCAATGACTAGAAGTAAAACTAATACTCTGATCAGTCATGTTATTCAAGGTATGTTACTGTAACATTCCAAATTTCGAGACAAAATTTTTTATTTTTAATTAAGTAATTTATAAAACAGTTTACTGACAACATCATCAATATCATATCAAACCCATAAACCCATAAAGCATGTCATGAAATAATAATGTCAGAGTACAATCCCAAGAACATCATGGTGTGGAAAATATGGTGTGATGCGCTGCTACCGAGCCGACTCCTTTCCCTTCGAAGAAGCAAGACCTGAAACAAAAACTGTAAACCGTAAGCACAAAGCTTAGTGAGTTCCCCCATCATACCACATATCATAAACATATAATGCCTATCCCTCGGTATCTTTCAACCGGTCTCTGACTGGCATAGCCGGAAGCTTAACTCCCCTTCGGTATCTTTCAACCGGTAGCCGGGAGTTAGCCTCCCCTTCGATATTTTTCAACCGGTAACCGGGAGCTGACATCCCCTTCGGTATATTTCAACCGGTAACCAGGGACTATTTCACCCCTACCACTACCACATAATAACATATCATGAACACACTGCTAGGCATACATGGGTACTTTCTACCCCTTCAGTATCTTTCAACCGGTAACCGGGGACTATTTCACCCCTACCACTACCAACACATATATCATAGCATCCTAGCACATAAAGCATAACAGATAGTAGCATACCAGACAATTATCACAAAGACAATCATCTAACAAACAAATCCTACTAGTGGGTCAACATTGTGGCCTTCGACCCACTTCTACTGGAAGGTAACTTACCTTGTAAAGCTGAATGTCGAATATCAATGGAAGGAATCTCTAACAGCTGCTCCGATGACTCCCCGACTATCATTATCATAACAACACTTAGTCAAAATCCATAATACTTCTTAGGGTAAAATGACCATTTTACCCCTTGGTCTAATTTGGACCATACCCAAGGCCCATTTCCATCTTATTTTTCCCAGTCCACTATTGGCCCACTAAAGGCCTACTAATGGCCCAATTTTCCAAATTGGGCTCAACTCCCCAAATGGGCCTTATTACAAACCCAAAAAATCCTTGGCCGAAAATAAATAATTTCAAGTGGCCTAATATGGCCCAAAGGCCCAATACTCTAAATCTCAGTCCTAAGCCCATAAACTATGCTCCACAGTGGGCCATAGGGCCCAACTATCCATGCCTAAACTTCTAAGGCCTAAAAGCCCAAGTTCGCCACTCTATATGCGTACGCGCGACATACCTAGAACGTACACCTAGCGTACGCTGATCTTGACCAAAAGCGGGATGTTGACCCAGTACGCGCTGTGTACCAAGGTGTACGCCCAACGTACTGGCCAACTCCCTTGGGGCTCCATTTGTGACTTAATTCATTAAGTCTTCACGTCCAGAATGTAGATTTAGGTCCTTCAAGACCTCCTAATCCATAAAGTCACAAACTTTATGTGCTTGCATGCATGGTTGGGGGTCAAAACATGATTTTGGTCCTTAAACAAGCTTTATGACCATCAAACACTTGCATGGCTGTGGCTTAACCATCAAGGTTCGATTTTTATGACTATAAGTGCTTCTAAGATCCCAAAAGGACAGCTCTTATGGTCTGAAACTATCAAGATACAAGAAACCTCAACAATGGAGTCCAAAAGTGGCATAAAATATTGCTCTTTCAAAAAAAAAGTGGCATAAAACACCCCAAATCAAATCTAAGCATGCAATGATCAAGTTTGAAGCTTGATACCTCAAATGAGTCAGAAATGGTGCTAATCTGCTGGATCTACAAGCTCCATTTGAACCCTTGCTCCTTCTTCAAACTTCTTTCTCTTCCAAAACACCAAAACAACACTAAGATGCTCTCAAATGGCTTCCAAATCACAAGAACACATGAATATGTGTTAGGGTTTTTGTGGTGGCTGACTAAATGTTAGAGGGAGGCTGGACCAAAATCATAAGGTCCTTTATATAGGGATCAAACCCTAAAATTTAGGGTTTTAGAATCTGCATGCGTACGCTGCGTGTACTCTTGGTACGTTGGGCGTACGTGCATGGCTTCCGCGTTCCAATCTCTTGATTACGCTGAGCGTACATGGAAAAGTACGTTCTGCGTACGGTGCTTCCTCAGGCCAAATACAAGGGCCCAAAGGTCTAAGCCCAACCTTTTAAAACTATTAACCTTATATAAATAAAAATAGTACCTTATAAATCCCGGACGTTATAAATCTTCTCCACATAAATTAGACTTCGTCCTCGAAGTCTGTTGCTGCTGCCAGGAATAACTTGGGGTAGTGCTCCCTCATCTCCTCTTCCAGCTCCCAAGTCCATTCTGAGCCCTTGTGGTGCTGCCCTTGCACCTTACCTGACTCGACCTTCTTGTTCCTCAGATCCTTCGTCTTCCTGTCGAGGATGGCTACCGGCCGCTCGATGTAGTTCAGACTGTCATCCACCTGAATATCCTCTAGAGGTACCACCGCATAGTCATCTACCAGGCACATCCGCAGCTGGGAGACATGTAAGGTACTGTGGATCTGACTAAGCTCGGCTGGCAGATCCAGCCTATACGCCACCTTGCCCACCCACGCTGCAACCCTGAAAGGACCAATGTATCTGGGGCCCAACTTGCCCCGTTTCCTGAACCGGATGACACCTTTCCAAGGTGACACCTTTAGGAGAACCCTATCCCCGACCTGAAACTCCAGGTCCGATCGGCGTCTGTCGGCGTAGCTCTTCTGCCGACTCTAAGCAGTCTGAAGCCTGCTCCGGACATGCTGGATCCTCTCTGTCATCTTGAGTACCACTTCGGTACTGCCCATGACCCTCTGCCCTGAAGGGTTTAGAGCATTCTAACACTCCTAAGGTGTACATGCAACCCTAGAAACCTTGGATCTATGTTTTACTATGATACATGCAAAATTGATTTTCCAAGGTTCTTAACCTATCTAGCATATCATGGGGAACTTTTAAACATAAATGCTAGAAGAAGAACATACCTTTTGTTGTTTGGATTCCTTGAGAACCTTGTGAGCCTAGCACCTCAAGTGTGAGGCCTCAAATGTCTCACACAACACCACAACACTTGGAATGACCTTGAGAGAAGTTCACTAAACCTCAAAATTGGCTAGTTCTCTTACTTGCTTGTAATAGTGCCAATTTTGCTAGACAAGGGGTCTTTATATAGTTGTGACACAAGTAGGGTTACACCATGTAAACCCTAATTGTCATGGCTTTTCATATTCCATGATCCATGGGTTTGTAACCTCCATGGATTATCCATGGAGCACATTATGGGTTTTAACCCAATCCATACAAAGCATGGATCATTAGCCCACTATACAAGAATAGATGATTTACACAATCAACCCCATATATTTAATTAGTCTCTTTTTGATCACTTAATTATTTCCAAATTAATTCTTTGATCAACACTAATTAAATAATATTATTAATATATTAGAACTTATAATATATTAATAAACCTTAAATGTCCTTTCTCTCATTTAGTCTATTCAAGTGTTGCAATGCCATGCAACCCAAATGGACCATGCTAATCGGGTCAAGTACATTCTAGAAATAGTTATGAACTTAGACACATAATCCAACAGTCTCCCACTTGGATAAGTCTAATAACTATAACTGCAAGAATGACTTCAGGAACCGATCGGCAATCGTAGTTCTTTCAAGGTCTCGCGGAACTGAGATGATGATGATACGCCATTTAAGATAAGTGATCATATAATCCTCTGTTCTAGATATCATCCGGACAAATACATGGAACAATGTCTTACTTATTGTCCAGCAGTTTGTTTCTCGATTTCCGATTTGTTTGACATAGAACTTAATTGAACACATCAACTTAGTTCTGACCGGGCCCGATACATGGGTCAACACAAAATCATCGAGGGGCCCAGATATCGCTTCTAATCCAAGAAGGAAAAGATAAACTTCGACTCATATGCTTGTTCTACTACTTGTTGAATCATACATAAAGGCACATTTTATAACATCGAGTTACCAATGCGTTTTCGTACAATCAATGTATAAAAAACTCATAGGAAACAAGTCATATCTCTAGGTTTGAAGACTTATATGATATTACCATCTCACGATCACTCGAGATAAATTCCATGAAGTGATATCAGTGAGCGTGGGTTGAATCCAATACTCAGAACTTGTGAGCACTCATGAGTGTTGTAGCAACACTTTGCAATGTCTAACATCTTAGACATCTACAACCAACTACATGACAGTCTTGATTCATATCTACTTCCAACATATGACCGACTGTGGAGAATTTGAATAATATGAAATAACATAACATAATTATTCTGGAAGTCAAAACATGCAAATTGAAATGATAGTAAACGATTGACAAAAGATAGCAACAATTTACTCATAAATAAACACAACTTTTATTCATCATCAAATGTCAATTACACTTTACACATTTCAAAGCTATCTAACTACTAAAACTAATATCATCCCTCAGCCCTATGCGCCTCGCATGCTGGAGATGCTTAACCCTACCCAGTCCCTTCGTGAGGGGATCTGCCAGGTTCTCATCCGATGATACCCTCTTTGCCACGATGAGTCCTTCTTCTATTCGATGTCTGATGAAATGGTATTTTCTGTCGATGTGTTTGAATCTCCCGTGATCCCTTGGTTCCTTGGCTAAGGC